ATTTATATATGCCCACCTATATTAAAGAAGATCCGTATTTTTTAGCAAAAACAAAAATTTAAAGCTATTTAATTAAACATAGACAAAAAATTATTAAAATTAGTTAAAAATTATTAAAATACTTTGTCAATTTAAAAAAATTATAAATACAGTATTATTTAATATATAATTTGATTTGTTAATTACTTAAACATTTATATACTAGTAGTTAGAGGCATGGCCTCACCATTAATATTTAAAAAAAAACTGGTAATTGCAAACTATATAATTTATAAATACGTACAATTTTATATACTATATTTTAGATAATTAGTTTTGATTTATTTATAAACCAAAGCTTAATTAAAAAAAAAAACTTTTTTATACGTATATCTTTTTATATATCTATTTAAATCAAAACCAATAACGATAACAAAAAAAGAATTTTCCAAATATTTATTGATGTACAATTGCACTATGCGACCAAAATAATCATTTATTATCACATGCTAGTCTATTGATTCATCGATGATTAGTAAAACGCATTAGCGCACAGATTTCTGATCGCTAAACAGGAATAGTAAAAATCCAGGAAATCCTATCCGCCCTGTTAAATTCTGGCCCCGAGTGTCAACAACAATGACGCATGTGTACATTGTTGACGTTTTTCGTTAAAGTCCTAAGTTTTTATAGATTCATCGGTCATTGTTTTATTTTTTTTTTCACCAATTCTTTTGAAATAACATTTTACAAGTTCTAAAAACTTTTAATCGACATAAATATGTCGTTTTTATTTAGAACGAGTCTTATCCTATTTGATTTTAACATATATATCCTTCCTATATTAATTTCATGTTTAATTTCTAACCTCTACAATTTTATAATTTGGTTCTTTCCGTCTTTATGTGAAATATACGCAAACATATTGTCCAATGAATCTTATTCACGGCCTTTCAAGTTTGTCACGATCATATCATCACCATTAATTGTTATTTTATACTTGGGAGCAATATTACCATTAAGCCTTCAAGCATGTGTCGCTTACAGTATATTCATAACATTAATATTACCAATAATACTACACGTTAAAAGACCTGAGTATCCTTATCATGAAGAATCGGCACTCATGTCAATAATGTTTCTACTATATCAATTTTGCCGTGGAAATTTTATAAAAGAACAACTTATTGACTCACCAATTGTACGTCCAATTCAAGATACCATTAATCTCGATAGAAAAATTTCCAAACTTTATTCGACAATAATACCGAACAAAATCTTGCAATCAGTTGATTTTTTTTATCATAAATTGAGAATTGGTATAGTTATTGGATTCTGTATTGGATTTTGTGCTATTCCTATAACTCTTATTTGTTTTTTCATTGAACCACCTTTTGATAAGGCTATTAAACAATTAAAACAATTATCTTCTCAATGGGCAATACGTAAGGATAGGAAAGAAAAAAAGACAAATTCTTCTAATGAGATCGAAGGGAATTTGGTGAACATTCTTTGCTCCGTGGTGCTACTTTTTTGCCTAAAAGTGGCAATGTTGGTTCCCTTGATCTTATTTGTAATGGGATTTTATTTGTATGGGCTTAGTGTGTACGTTTACTTGGGGATAGAGCGATTATTTCAGTTCATTTGTCAGAACATTTTTTATCCTTCCATTATTGTCATCTGCAGTTTGAAGAGTGGGATGGATTCGACTTATTTTCCTCTGTTTGGACTTGAGAACGAGTTATAAAAATCGTAGGTTGTGGTTATTTCTTTTAATAAGAGTGGAATACGTTAGTTACTTTTTCACTTTTATGGAAAAAAAAAATCTAAAATCAAAAAGGAGAAAAAAAAATTTCAAAATAAATAAAAAGAAAATGCGAACGATTTATATTTTATCGTGTTTCTTTGTGTAAACATTTAGGGAAAAATTTATCTATTATTATTTTATCATTATTGTTATTATAAGAAGAATGTCAAGAAATAAATTA